ATGATAGTTGTCCCGACAGGTTTGAACGTAATCTGTTGGCTGGATTCTCTCGAGGGAATTTTCTTTCTTTTCTTTGTAATTCTGGTTGAAGCGATGGGGAACAAAGAGACTGCATCCCTACAGTTTTGCCAGGACTTGCTTCGTGCAAGCTCCTCTTTTCTGTGCCCTTCTTTAAAAAATTCGTTTTTCCTGATCTCTTTCTCTCCGTTAGTTTCGCTTCATTATTCTGCTTCCACTGTTTTGGCTTTCTCTTTGAATCTTCTTTGCCATTTTCGAATCACAGAACTCCATCTCTCCCGCTCTCTCTCTGTTTCTCACATGCATATACATTCTCACTCTCCCCTCAGCCATTCTTCTTTTACTCTTTCTATTTTGTTATTCACGCATACAGATACACACTCACACACACATATAAAAAAAAAAACATGCATACGCATGCACAAGAAGAGAGAGAGAGAGAGAGAGAGGGGTGGTGGGATTTGTGCGTTCTCCCCCTTCTTTGAACGACTCTTCTTTTTCACTGATTTCGCGCTCACACTTACTCTCTCTATCTCTCTAATTCTATCTCATTGACTCCTCCCCTTCACACACATCAGCGTCTGCTATTAACGCTGCTTCTCAATCGTGTTTACAACTCGCCCTCCTTTCATTTCAAATTTCTCGCTTTTCTCGTTCATCTTTGCTTAAAGATCGGCTAAATGATTCCCTTTTAAACTTGTTTCCCTTAATATCCACCCGGATCTCTCTCTATATATATCTCTCTACTTTTCTCTCCTTACTTGCAGGCGTGTTTAAACTCTCAACAACATCTTTCTTCATCTGTCGTAAATTATCGTCTTGTCTGTTTTCCATATCATTTGTGTTTACCTACATTCATTCTCAGTTTGTTTTCTTTTGTTCCGTTGCAATTATTGTTTCCCCATTAATTGATTATTCAGGTTTAAAAGCCCTAATTTATTTCTTTGTATCATTTTCTGTTTGTTTTTATTTATGAACACTGTTTCTGCTGCTTGTCATGTTGTTGCTTTTTTGTCTTAACAACTTTTCTCTCTTCCCTATATTGATATACGATCATTTTAATCTCGTCCACTTTTCCTAAATTTGCACCCTTTTTCATGTTTTGTTTTTATTTTACACTTTTATTAAGTCTTCTTTTCTTTCTCTTTTCTCAATACTTCAATTCTTTCATACATTCTTTCTTTCTTTCTTTCTTTTATTCTTTCTTTCATTCTCTCTCTCTCTCTTGATTTCTTTCTTTCTTTCATTGTTGTCTTCTTTTTTTTGTTTTCTTTTATTCTTTCTTTCATTCTCCCTATCTTGATTTCTTTCTTTCTTTCATTTTCTTTCTTTTTTTTTTCTTTCTTTCTTTCTTTCTTTCTTTCTTTCTTTCTTTCTTTCTTGCTTTATTTCTTACTTAGTTCCTTTCTTTCATTTTCTTTTCTTTCTTTCTTTCTTTCTTATTTTCTCTATTTCTTACATTCTTGTTTGCTTTTTTCTTTCCTGCTTTCTTTCTTTCTTTCTTTCTTTCTTTCTTTCTTTCTTTCTTTCTTTCATTCTTTCTCTTTTGCTATCTTTTTTCTTTCTTACTCATTTTCATTCTTTCTTTTTTTGTCTTTTTTTCTTACTTCTTTTTTTGCTTTCTTTCATGCTTCTTTCTTCCTTCCTCTCTTTCTTCCTTGCTCTCTTTCTTTCTTTCTTACTCTTGCACGCTTTCTTTTATTCTCACTTCTTTTTTGCTTTCTTTTATGCTTTCTTTCCTTCTTCCTCTATTTCTTTCTTGCCTTCATGTTTCTTTCTTTTTAAAAATCTTTCATGCTTGCTCTCTTTCTTGCTCGCTCTCTTTCTTGCTCTCCTTTTTCTTTCTTTCTCGCTCTCTTTCTTTCTTGCTCTCATTTTTCTTTCTTTCTGTCTTTCTCTTTTCTTCCTTTCCTTTTTTCTTTCTTTCTGTCTTTCTTTTTTCTTTCGTGTTATCTTTTTCCTTTTTTCTTTCGCACTCTCTTGCTTGCTTTCTATTTTCTTTCTTACTTTCTTTTTTGAAATCTTTCAAGCTTGCACTTTTTTTTGCTCGCTCTCTTTCTTGATTGCTCTCTTTCATTCTCGCTCTCTTTCATTCTCGCTCTCTTTCATTCTCGCTCTCTTTCATTCTCGCTCTCTTTCATTCTCGCTCTCTTTCTTGATTGCTCTCTTTCATTCTCGCTCTCTTTCTTGCTTGCTATCTTTCTTGCTTCCACTCTTTCATTCTCGCTCTCTTTCATTCTCGCTCTCTTTCTTGCTTGCTATCTTTCTTGCTTCCACTCTTTCATTCTCGCTCTCTTTCATTCTCGCTCTCTTTCATTCTCGCTCTCTTTCATGCTTGCTCTCTTTCATGCTTGCTCTCTTTCATTCTCGCTCTCTTTCTTTCTTGCTCTCTTTCTTGCTTGCTCTCTTTCATGCTTGCTCTCTTTCTTGCTTGCTCTCTTTCATACTCGCTCTCTTTCATTCTCGCTCTCTTTCATGCTTGCTCTCTTTCTTGCTTGCTCTCTTTCATACTCGCTCTCTTTCATTCTCGCTCTCTTTCATGCTCGCTCTCTTTCTTGCTTGCTCTCTTTCATACTCGCTCTCTTTCATACTCGCTCTCTTTCATGCTCGCTCTCTTTCTTGCTTGCTCTCTTTCATGCTTGCTCTCTTTCATGCTCGCTCTCTTTCTTGCTTGCTCTCTTTCATGCCTGCTCTCTTTCATGCTTGCTCTCTTTCTTTCTTGCTCTCATTTTTCTTTCTTTCTGTCTTTCTTTAACAACGCTTCTTCATCTTCATTTTCTTCACTTCTGCTTTTGTTCTCTTCTGCCATTAACCCTTTTCTTTCAGCCCGACAACCACCACAAAGCCTTTCTCTTTCCATTCTTTTTTCTTTACATTTAATTCATTGCAGCTCACGCTTCTTTAAGCATTCTTCTTCAGGAATTTCATCACGTACACTCAATCTTTCAACGCCACATTCAGCCTCACCATTTTCATTCTTTATACAATTTTTTTACACTATTACCATTCTCTAACGGACATGGAATAATCGCCTTACATACGTATCTATGCGTATACAAATCTATACTTTATGCATGTCCTTGACTATGCAATTTCAAACTCGTTGTCAGCATATACGCCAGTGAGGACGCTAAAGGGTATTAACATGCATTTTTCTAAGTATGTCAGTGAATTCAACTTGCAAAATTTTCTTTCTTTTACGGTGAAAAATTCTTTTAGCTTCAAAGTTGCCTACGTCAGTGTATATTAGGTGTAGCTCTAATTTACATCAACTGACGCCGGGTTTGTTATTTATTTCATTCAAAAACTTGATTTATATACAGAAAATTAAAGAAAAATCTTAGTAACAATGAAATGCGTGTGGGAGATTCAATATGTTTGTGTATGTGACAACAAGTGGCATATCACACACACACACATATATAGGTATAAGAATGAAGGAATCAACACTGAATTGGGACTGTTAGTTTCACGATGCAAAGTGATCTGCAGATCAAGTCAGCATTAAAGTTTGAGACTTATTGCTGCTATGCAGTGTTGATGCCTATGTCCACACTGTCGAAACGCGTTATCTCCACGACTGAGCACTCTTTCTTTATAAATATAACAAATTTTCAAAGATATATATGTTTCACAACACACACACACACACACAGAGAGAGAGAGAGAGAGAGAGAGAGAGAGAGAGAGAGAGAGAGAGAGAGGGAGAGAGGATTTACGGCCAACTCACGTTGATACATTAGTTCCTGCACGATCACCGGAGTTAAGTAATGTCGCGCCTAGTCACTAACTAGATGGGTTACCGCTCAGGTATAAAAGGTAATATAAGTTTGAAAGTACGGGTGGTGTAATGAATAATGGCTCGGAATTGTTCCAATTCTAGTCGTCTTCTTTATATTCACTTATGTGCAAATTTCCCTGGGAAAGTTATGAATCCACATCTTCTCTTCCCAGCTATGGGTTAATTAGTAAACACTTGTATCATTAAAACTATTATTATCTCCAAAAGTAAAAGAAAAATTGCGTACAAAATATTTAAATCTCGGTATTAAATAATCCACAAAGGTGTTGATATGCCAGTAAACAGAAACAACCAACCAACCACACACACACACACACACACACACATATATATATATATAAATATATAAGAATGGGTAGGATGAAAATGTACATACACGTACAAATACTTGTACGTACGTAAGTATATTTATACCTCAGGTATTACAAATAGAGTTTATTTATTTCTGAGTTTTACAGAAATTGTAGCACAAGGCCGAACAGGTGTTATAAATACAGTGCTCAATGTTGTGAGACAGAGCTATATATATATATATATATATATATATATATATATATACACACACATACGTACGTGCAAGTATTTGTGCGTGCATGTGCATTTTATACACACACACACAAACACATGCACGTACGAAACTCATGCTGAACTGCTGGAACAGACTCGTTATTCTTTACTAAACTGCCATAGACGAACACGTGTTCCTCTATCACTGAGAGCGCCATGGCTTCAACTGAAGAAAAAAAACAAAAAAAAAAACAATTGCTTAGTCACCACAGATCGAATGGTCTGTGTCGGACATATTTTACTGCCCGTGGGACTGAGTAATAGACATTTTAAAACGATTGTTCTCTCTACCTAACACTGTGTATACGAAAATAAATATATGGGCAAAACAAAACTCCCCCAGAAAAGAAAGTCCCACGTCATTTTTTATTTCCTGTCTCTTTGAGAAAGGACACAGGTGTGTCCGAAAATTCCGACTTTTAACATCTTTTCTCATGATACTTCCATTCAGTCAAAAGGCCTACTAATATATACTTAATATTATTAGTATTGTCACCAGTACTATTATTTTTTTTTGTTTTTATCTCTTGAAATAATTTCACTGGCCATTATTATATATATATATATATATATATATATATATATATATATATATATATATATTCTTTTGACTAAATAATTTAGACATATTATTTAATCAAACATACCTGCCTAATCAAAAAAATATCCTGCCTAAATATATATATATATATATATATATATATATATATATATATATATATATATAAATGAGGGTCAGCAGTAGATGGTGCCTTTCATATTACGCTTATGCATGCTAGCAGGACCTATTGCTGAGAAAATCAGGTTAAGGAAAACATAATTATACACACACACACACACACACACACACACACATATATATATATATATATATATATATATATATATATATATATATATATATATTAAGACATTTTCAATAAAATATCTTTTTCCCCTGCCAGCTGACGGTATCATGAAGGTGTATAAAATAACCTGAAAAAAAAAAACAAACAAAAAAAACAAACTTCGATGCTTTTAGTCTGATACAGTCTCGTTCATTTAACCATTAAGCATGACGTCATTGTAGATTGTTTCAAACTTTCAACTCTCTAAGAAATACCAGGATGTAGCTAACGTCATCTTACCTACATTACGCGGGTTCTCTATTGATTGAAACACCAGAAAATAATTGAAAAAACAACACGAACTTCGCGCAGGCAGTTTATTCACAATTTCGATTCAGGTATACAACATTTCATTCGGAATTTGGAAAAATACAATAATAAATTAATAGAGTTTGTTTCTTGTCGGTTGAATTTAATATATATATATATATATATATATATATATATATTTATATTTTGTTTATACGTTATTTTATAGGGACAAATATTTAAGTAAATTCTGTGTTTATAATAAACAGTATTAACAACATTTGTCAGCCTGAATGTTCGAAAAATTTCGAAGAAAATATGTATCCTCCGACAGGAATAGAACCTTTTCCTTACCTGGAACCCTCATAGAGCCTGGCGGGCTATACGATTTAGCTACAGAGGATACGACTGGTTCGCAAACTCAAATTACTGTTTTTAACTACAAATTTTCCATGATTTCTCTCGAACGCTCACATCTGCTCCGAGCGTATCTTAACGTAAACAAATTACATCATATATTATAACATGAACTAAGTCCGACAATTACTTTAATATTTTTTTGTTTATACGTTATATATATTTTTGTTTATATGTTATAAATGTAAGAGTTATAGCTTTTTTGTAACCTCATGTTCCAGTGCTAAGTGTAAATGAACTATTGTTCAAAAGTAATAAAAGAGTAATAAAAAAGCATTGGTTGAGAAAATTCTATTTTGCCATATACACAATAATGGTAACAAGTCAAAATTTTTATTTTTCAATTCACTAATAATGTAATTGGATAGTACTGATGTACTTTTAATGCATTTAACTTTATAGCTATAGCATATATTTTGACACCAAGAAAATTTTGTAAGTATTCTTTTCTATTCAGTTTAGTATCATTACGTTTGTTCTTTTATGAGGTTGCTTGGTTGGTTGTTTTGTTTTATGGCATATCAAAACCTCAGTGGGTCATTTAATGCCAACAAAATTTTTGAAATAGATCCATAGCGATAGTTTGGTAAAAAAAAGTTATGTATATATACATATATATTTGAACCATTTTTCAATTACTCATATTTTTTAGTACAATCCAACTTCTTTTAGGAAATTTACAATCTTGTATGGTTTTATTTTCGTAAAAAAGTTTTTTTCTTTAAATTACTCCCTTGGTAATATTTTGTTTGCACTAAATCAAAATCGACACACTCTAACAGTATATGTTTCACTGTAAATTTTAATTATTGCTGATAATTTTTCCTTCAATAATTATTGCTAGTAGTAATTTTTTATTACAA